CAATCACAATTAAGATTGATTAGCATAATACGGAGCAGGGTTATCGCAGTAGTAATCCCTTCATCTGGTCCAAAATTATTGCACTGTGAAGTTTGCGTGCCACGCTAAAACGTTGACGATAAGGCTACAATATCACCAATCAAACAGTAAAAATAATTCACCCAATCTAGTTGCCTCTTAACATCTCAACAATCGCTTTGCAGTTGTATCTTCCTTCCTACATGTTGACATAAAAGATATGTAAACTTCAAAAAGTTTCTAATTAGTTGGTGTGAAAGTATAGCTAAACTGTGCAAAAATAGAAAGATTAAATGTTCTCACAAAGAAAAACAAAAGACATGTAGTTAAGACCAGTGAGGAAGAAAATACTAACCATGCGTTCCATTTCTCCAACAAAAAACATGCCATCCTTTGTTCCTTCTGCACATTAGAATATAATAGAAACTCAGGATCTAAATGCAATTTAGATTCCACTAACAATCTGACTTGAAAATTTTGTGAAATGAAAAATCTGAGATATTATGAATATATTGTACTAGACAAACCATGGTGCTTTACTCCCAAGTGTTTCAATAACTTCATGCACGTAAGCTGAAATTTGCAAGATAAATTCATTCTTGAGAACACTGGTATTAGAAATAAAAATCAAAGAATAAAGAAGAAGAATTAAAGTAAATTTAAGTGAAAATTCGAGACTGAAAAGCAGGGCCGGCCCTGAGTTTCCAGGGGCCTAAGGCGAAATAATTTTTCGGGCCTTTTTAAATATTTAAAAAAAGTAAAAATAAAAATCACTCTGTTTGGTTTAAAGTTTTCAAAAATAATTGTTTGAATTTATAATTCGTATTTTTTTATATTTTTTGTATTTGGTAATGTTTTAAAATATATACACAAATATTATATTTTTAAATACATCTAAATTAGGTGTATTTGCAAAATATTTTTTTTGTGTAAAATATTTAAAAAATTCACTAAAAAAACACATAATTGGGCCATAAAGAGAAAGTTAAAAAGAAAATAGGCCAAAAAAAATACTAAAAAACACATAATTGGGCCATAAAAAGAAAAAAATAGGCCACACAAAATTAGGCTAACGACTAATACATATACATATATTTAATATTTTATTTTTTTAATTGGACTAACAACTAAAACTTATAAATATTTTTTAATTGGGCCTTTTATCAATTGGGCCAAATAAATTTTTTGAGGCCCCCTTTAAAATGACCTAAATTAATTAAATAGAATTAGGCCATTTTAAGTTTTTAATATAGTGTAAGACTAAATTAGAAGCCTTTTTTTTGGGCCTAATTTTTGGAGCCCTAGGCACAGGCCTCACCAGCCTTAGCCCAGGACCGGCCCTGCTGAAAAGTGTAATTTATCCTATACATAAAAAAAAAAAAAAAAAAAAAAAAAAAAAAACTACAAAGAATAAAGTATAATTGTCCAAAAAAGGAAAAAAAAAAGTGAGGAAGTAAAAAAAATAAGAAAAAAAATTAGGGATATATCCCTCTATATGTTTATGTTAGAGTTTTCGGATATAGAAAATTTGTTTATTAGTTAAGATCCTTAGGATTTCAAATTTTAGAAGTACAAGGAATTTTTTAAGATAAATACGCAAAAACGACCTTGGCCCCGTTTGGTAGAGCTGTGGGAAAGTGCTTATAGCTTATGCCTAAACAGCTTATAGCTTATAACTATGAACATAAGCTGATTTCTGACTTAATATCCTAAAAACTCTAAACTAGTTTTTTTTTTTTTTGCAATAAATGTATTTCTCTCTCTCTCTCTCTCATGTTGCCTCCACCCCATTCACCGACGAGATCCAATGAGATGGCCCACCATCCAATCAAATCACGTCTTTGGATCGTTTGAAGTAAACTTTCAAGCTCAAATGTTCATCCTCGGAGTTATCATTGACGAACCGTGCTTGTTCTTTGCTTCACGTTTCATTACATTTTTTTAAGTATTTATAGTATAGGTCAGTACAATTTATCTGACCTTATGCAATTTCACAAGTTTTAGACTAAAATAATGAAATTTCTATTAAAAACAGAGAGACAGAGTGAGTGAAATAGTGAAATTTCTTTGATCACGGTCAATTAAATTTCCCTACGTTAGAGTTAATTTTTATTTGTACTCTTTTTGATTTCAATCTCTCTCTTCTTTGGCATTGATTTAGTGGTATTTTACTAAGTTAAGTAAAACTAATCTAGAGAAATTCTCTAGGCCAATAATTTCACTGGTAGAGAATTTCAAGCAATTTTAGCTGAGTATGAGCAAATTTTTATTTGTTTTTTCTTATTCCTCTTTCTCGCTTTATCTGATTCCTTTCCCTTACTCCCTCTTCGGTGTTGATCAAGTGATATTTTACTAAGTTATTGAAAATTAGCTCAAAGTAAGAGAAATTTTATTGTAATAAATTAGTAAAATTTTAATTCACTACAAAGTCATCAGATTATTACAAAATATTTATTGATTACCGACAATAGTCACTGCAAAGTTACCACGTATAGTCACCAACAACGGAAGTTAGTGGACTAATTGTAACAACCACCTCCTTACTTAGTCCTGCTAATTCTCTGATTTACATTGATTATGTATTATGTATTAATATGTGCCATGGGTGATTTGTATTAAAATATTGTTAACAGATGTGTATAGAATACGAATTTGAACTTGTTTGAATAAATAAACCATAAGATTAAAATTAATTATTTGGATAGGAAATTAGAATCTAACTCACATTAGTATTAGTAAGTCTGGTTTGATTTAAATTAGACTATAACGAGAATTGATTTAATTTAAGTGTATTTAATATAATTTAATTTAACCTTATAATTAATCAAACTTAGGAAATTAGAGATAAGTTACATTTGTTTTTAGGCACTCATCAATTTAATAAAAGAAAGAGAAGAGTTAGAGCATGTGGTTGGAGTCAAACATTTGAGAGGAAGAGAGAAAACACAAGAGACCTCTAGAAGAAGAAGGAAAGAAGGGGAAAAAGAGGAATCAAGCAAAATCTTTATAAATCAACCCTTCAAGGCAAGAATTTCTTGCTAATTTCATGAAATTAGGGCTTAGACACTCATCATCTTGAAAGATTGAAGCTTAAATTGAGTAGATTCATGGTTATTTAAGAGTTTTAAGGACAAGTTTAGAGTTGAGAACCTATATGAACATAAATGAGAGGAATTGTAAGAATTAGTTCAAGATTTGAATATGCATGGCATAAATTCATGAAAATCATGATCATAAACCTATTTTCTTGCATGGCTTCTCATGATTTCAAAGGAATTTCTATATATGAGCTTGAGTTGAAGCTCTTAAAGTTATGTTTCATGATTCTATAATTTTCCTAAAGAATTTGATCTTTAATGGGATATTTGAGTTTGTATTTAAAGTTATGATTTATATTTAATGTTGGAAATCCATATTCAAGTTGTTTTCAAGAGTTTAAAGCTTTGAAATACATGAGCATGGAGTTGGTTTTTGAAAAGATTGAATTCCAAATGCAAGAGCAATTTTCAGGCAGGATTTTACCCATAAATGCATGTGCGGCTTGGAGCCCTGCACGTGCGGAAAACAAGGCACAAAACAGCACATAATCTACTTTAATTGCACGTGTGGGGCGCACCTGCGGTGGTAATTCTGCACGTGTGGCCAGTGCTCTCACACGTGCTGATTTCAAGCCCGTCTTTGTTTTTGTTCTTTCATTCTTCGGATTTCCGGGCCTCTATTTGCATGGTATTCATGTGTATTTCAAATTCATATGCATATCATGAATACGAAAAAAGTTAAAAGAACAAATATAAATAACGGAACAAACAAGCAACAAATGAACTGAATAGGTTTAAGAATTGACTGAATGAATTGAACATGGTTTGAATGTGTTTGTGTAGGTCAGACACCGCACCCTAACCACGTGATTCGGGGAGCCAATTGTGAGTAATAACCTTGTAAAGACATGTTTGATTTATAAATATTTTTTAACTTATACTGTACTCTGTTTCCGAAATGATGCTTTCTGTTTAAATGAATGATTGTCCTATTTGAGAAATATATTCGTGGCATCCTTAGCTACCGTTACTACTATTGCTACAGAGATTTCTGCCAGTTTCAATTCTTGGAACTATTGTTTACTGTATTGATAGTCATCATATATGACTGTTTGGTTTTCTAAGACTTACTGTACCGTTCTACTAATGGATATATCACGTATAACTGTTATGATTGCGATATGATTATGAAATGAGAAATAGATTCACTGATAATAATTGACTGTTTTAAATACTGTAAGGACATCATTCATTATCCTTTTACGCCGTTGTTATTTACTAGGCTCTAGCTCATCGTTCTATATATGTATGCAGATGATCAAGTACTAGATCGAGCTTAGTGGTGTCGACCTGAACTCTGTTTTATCAAGCTAACTACTATGCCTCATTTCGGGATTCCAACTAGGTCAAGCTTCAAGGCTTCATGGGTGGTTTTGAATATATCCTTTTGAATTGTGATCAAGTGTATAAATGTTTCTAAGACGTTTGTTAAGACTGGTTTGTAATTAGGATTAAATTCCTAAGTTTTGTTTATGTTTTTGTACTTAAACTTGATATGGACTCATGTGTTTATGGGTACATATATGGGCTTATTTTGTTCATTTAGATTTTCACAGTTCATTGGACGTTATATTCAATTATTTATTAGTTTTTGCCAATCCCTATTATTGGATTACTATTAAGCTAGCCTTAGGTAATCTTGGATTACTGGTCGGTCACCTCTTTAATCCTTTGGTGTGAGGTTGGGTCGTGACACTAATAAAACTAAACTAAAGGTAATTTTTTTCTTTAATTTTTTTAATATTATTAAAATAATAAATAAATTTTTTTTTTACGAAATCAATAAAAAATGAAAATAAACTGGAACCTAGCCCAATGCTAAACCCAAAACCAAATCGGACCTAGAGCCCACCCTATTGTCCAACAGCTCTCGAGGAGACGTCCAAAATCCAAATCCAAATCCAAACCCTCTCTCTCCTCACTTCGTTCGCTCTGTAACATTTTGCGCAGTTTCGCGCGCAGAGAGAGAGAGAGAGAGAGAGAGAGGATAATGGCGTTGGAGCAAACAGTGGCATTAGCAGCAACGAACATCCTTCTCTGTATCCCCAGAAATCATCTCACCAATACCAATACCAATACCAATACCAATACCAATACCAATGCTCATATCCTCTCTTTCTCTCCTTCAAAATCAAACCCTCTCTCTCCTTTTCGCCTCTTCTCATCTTTACCACTACCACTCAACAATACACGATTCGCTATTCATAAATGTTCAATCGATTACAACAACAACAATGGCCATTACGACAGATTAATGGGTTCCGAGTACCCTAGGCCGTCGGAGATTCAGTGGAAGAAGGAGCTCTGTAACTCCGTACAGCTCATCGGCATCGTCGCTACACCTGTCCAAATCAAGCCCCTCAGCTCCGGCAAGGTCGTCGCTTGGTCTCGCCTCGCCGTCAAGAAATCCTCTACCGACACTGCCTGGTAAACACTTCTTGTTGAAACCCATCCCATTTGTAAAATCAATCAGTGCAGTGTAGGGTTTTCAGATTATTGTTTTATTATTAGTCTTGTTAATTAATACCAAAATGGCATCATTGCTAGCCTCCTCTGATTAGTGGGTATTTTGGCCCCATTTCCTGGGTTTGGGAATTTTGTGTTTTGATATTTGGGTTTTCTTGTTTCTGAGCCTACTTACTTTGTAGAAATTGTGAATCAAAGTTTTGTGCGTTGTTGCTGATTACCATGTGAGTTGGGTGGTCCTTTATCATCTGCTTGCAAATGCTATCAGTGACAAACTGGATCCAGGCCTTGAGAAACTACTTGTGTGACCATACAAAAGCATATTGAGAAGTAATGTTAGTTATTATCAGGGATGCTGTAAGCATTGAGTAACATGTGCCATAGTGTATCTGTGAAATGTTATTGTCATTTTCAGTACCTTGTCAAGGTATTAAATTGCCTTTATTTGTTTTCTCTATCCCATTTTGATGTTTACTCCTCTATCATTACTGCCCACCTTTTTTTTTTTGCCGGATAAGTTGTACTGTCAATGCTGCCCACCAAGCCCCCACTAGTTGCTTAACACCCATCAACACTTCTTTCATGGGGCCATTACCTTGTAGTTTACTTGTATCACTTCTATTGTCTGCTTATAGTTTTTACCGGGACATGATTTCTAATGTTAGAACCATAAAAGCAGTAATTTTGCAGATTAGAGAAGAAGATTGGAAAGAAATAAACCAAACTTATCTATTTCTTGAAAAAAATGCATATGACAAGTATTCTCTTGAATATAATCTTTTTCCTTCAGGCCACTGAATGGAAAAATAACCATTTACTCAACTCTGTCTTATAGATTTTCATCTTTTATTTTCTATCAATTTATGAGGTATCACCATTCAATTGTTTTGTGAAGAACACTATCGGTACTACGTTGAGGGTTATGAAACACTTGTAGAAAGTGATGGTCAATGTTTATCAGGATCAATTTGACATTCTGGGATGAGTTGGCTCATGTTGCTTTTCAGCATGTAGAGAAAGGCCACCAAATTTATGTTTCTGGCCGCCTGGTTTCGGATACAGTTGAAAGTGAGGATGGGAAGCAGCAGACTTACTATAAGGTTTTTTGACTGCATGTTCTTGCGCCTTAGCATTTTATCTTCCCTTTTGTACCAGAAAGATTGAAATCACGTTTGATTGGGGCAGGTGGTTGTTCAGCAACTGAATTTTATTGAAAGGAATTTCTCGTCTGTGACTTTGTACGATGGGGATTCAAATTCTGCAACACCAGGCAACTGATTTTACTGAGACATTCTTTATTGAAGCAGATTTGCTTTCATTGGAACCTTCCTTTAGTTTGCTATGTTGTTTCCTTGCAGGTAGGAAGCTTAGCAATTACACTGCGAATAACACCGGCTCCACCGAAGAACTATGGCAAGCATTTTTTGCTAATCCAGTGGATTGGTGGGATAATAGGAAGAACAAGGTAGTCTACTCCGTTCATAAATTGTTTTAGTGTGTCTTGGTCTAGCATTGCTCTCTTACTTAGTAGTAGGAGCATACATTTGACTTGGGTTCTCATGCAAATCTGAAATATCAATTTTATTTTGATTGCTGTCTTATTTTCATTGTTTTGTCTCTATATGACTGTCGATACTAAGGAGTTGTTTGGGGTGTCCTAAATAAGTGTACTTTTTGTCTTTTTGGACTAAAAAATTGAGGAAGAAAATATGGATGTTTGGGTTAATTTTTTGAGGGAAAAATTAGGATTGGGAGTTGTGCAACCGTAATTGTTGACTTTTGGTGAATAGTATTAACTTTTTAAGTAACTTTTTGACTTTTTTGCAATACGCCAAACTTGGCCTAATAATATACTTTCAGAGGAACCCAAAATATCCAGATTTCAAGCACAAAGATACTGGGGAAGCATTGTGGATTGAAGGAAGGTATAATCCCCCGTGGGTGAAGTCCCAACTGGCAATCCTGGATACGAGAATGGAGTCTTTTCATGATCAAAATGATGCCATGCAAGTAAATTTTGTGGCCGGTGATGATTACACGTCTTTTTAACTGCACATTATGCTGATTGCTAGATATGGGTCTCAGAAGAATCTTTTCTCTGTATGGTTTTATTATTTTTGAAAAGATAAATTTTGACATTAGTTTTACTGGCTTTGTTTGTATAGTTGTACCAGAGAATTTACAGTGTGCTGAACAAGTTTTGTGCGTCTTAATTTGGGTCTTCATTCAAACCACTGGACAGGTCATTTATGATCGGCGTCATGTTATACAAGCTATCTTGAGGTTTAAAAGCTTCTCAAACAAATTAAGGGGTTGTTTGTGATGTCTTAAATAAGTACACTTTTTGACTTTTTAGACTAAAAAGTTGAGAAAAAAAATACGGTTGTTTGGGGTAACTTTGATTTTTTACAAAAAAAAAATGTGTATTAAAAAATTGTATGATTTAGTATATAGGAGAAGGGAGAGAAGAATAGGCAGTATGCTGGGGTAGAGCAGTGGGTAGACAAGCATATAGGATATGCTTGCCTCCTTTTTGAGCATTGAATTAGACGGTGATGGTTGGTCTGTGAGGGCCCACCACGGGTCTCGTTTTAGTAATATAAACCGTTCAATATGTAGAACTCGTCGAGTATTATATGTTTGTAAAAAATCACGTTTATCGGATATCGATAGCTATCTAATCAAATTAGTTTTTTGTCAACCGTTAACTATAATGTCATCTTTTTTTTTATACAAAACTGATTTGATCATTTAATTAGCGATATCCGATCAATGTAATTTTTTATAGGCATATAGTACTCGACGAGTTTTATACATTGACGATTCAGATTAGCAAAACGAGACCCATGATGGGCTTCCACGGGCCGAATAACACTGTCTTTAAGCTTATCTCCACGTGTAGTTTGTTCTCACCAAAGTCAGGTAAAGGCAACTCACATCAAAGTGAGCTGTACATTTTTTGTGTAAAAATATTTTTTTTTAAATTTTTTTTGGTGAATAGTGATCACTTTTTTACTTTCTTAATAACTTTTTGACTTTTTGTCTTTTTTGAAGATGCCAAACTAGCCTAAGATTGACATGGTCTTTTGCTTTAAAAGCTCGTGGTTCTGATTGAGGTTTATTAAGCTTCTCAAACAAATTTATGAGATGTGTTTTGTTGTGCTCTGAGGCAATTTCGGGCCTTCAGGTGAATTTGAGGAAGTCCACATAGATTCCGGTGGATAAGGTGGAGGGTTTGCCAATGTTGGTAGCGGTATTGGGTTATAGGGTATCGGATTTGCCGGTTACTTGTTTGGGTCTGCCTTTGGGAGTGACGTTTAAGGTGAAAGGAGTATGACAAGGGGTTGTGGAGCGGATTCAACGTTGGTTAGCCAGTTGAAAGAGGCAATAATATCTTTCAAAAGGGGGACGGTTGATGCTGATTAAAAGTGTGTTGAGTAGCATCCCGACATACTTTATGTCTTAGCATGTTATTTTAGTGCTTGTGGCGCAGCGGATTGAGAAGCTCCAAAGGGATTTCCTGGGGGTGGTGGAGGGGATGAGTTTAGTTATCATTTTGGTGGGTTGAGGACAGATTTGCCAACCGAAAGTGGCGGGAGGGCTAGGGGTGAGGAGTTTGGTGACTTTTAACCAATGCTTTGTTAGGGAAATGGTTGTGGCGCTTTGTTTGGGAGCCAGAGCGTTTATAGAGAAAAGTGGTGGCTGGTAAATATGGTTTAGCTCAGGGGGATGGGGGTCAAGGGATGTGCTTGGTTCTCATGATTGTAGGTTATGGAAGGGGATTTGGTTGGGAAGTACAATGTTTTGGGAAATGGTGGGGTTTCGGGTGGGTACTGGGCAAAGGGTGCAGTTCTGGAAAGATAGGTGGGGTGGTGTGGTGTGGTGTGGTTTTGTTAAAGGATCGCTTTCCTTTGAAATTTGGAGGGGAGGGGGGATGGGATGGTTTGGGATATTCAATTACGACGACAGGTCCATGATTGAGAGGTTGATTAGTTGGTGGAGTTACAAGTTTATCTGTATGGGTTGGGTGTGACTAGGGTGGGTGAGGATGTGTTGGTGTGGGAGGTTGTGGGAGCTAAGGGGTATTTTTTGGTTTCATCATTTTATTGGAGTATGGTGGGGAGGTGAGACGGGATTTTCCTTAGAAGAGCATTTGGGTGCCAGAGGTCCCGTCTAATGTGGTTTTCTTTATGTGGATGGCGGCCTGGGGCCAAAATCTTACTCGGAGAACTTGATGTGACGTGGTCATATTCTAGTAAATTGGTGTTGTATGTATTGTCAAGATGCAGAGTCTATGGATCATTTGTTCTTGCACTGTCCTGTGACGTTTCGTTTGTGGGGATTTGTTTGTTCTCTTTTTGGGATTGTTTGGGCTTAGCCACGATGGGTGGTGGACATGTGGAGTTGGCGTGGGGCTCAGGTGGGCCTTTGAAGACGGCGTGTGTGATTTTTGGTTCCATTCTGTTTGATGTGGCCAGTGTGGTTGGAGAGTAATAGGCGTACGTTTCAATCAAGAGACTTATGGTACTAATAGTTGGCTTGAGTGTCGTTTACTTATAGTTTTGTATAATAAGTTAGAGAGGAAAGTTGATCCAGGCATGTATGGTTTTTTAGATTTTTTGGATGAGGTCATTGGTTAGAGGGTGATTCTTGCCCCTTTGGGATTTTTGTATTTATTGCATCTACTTAATACTTCTTTAATAAAGTTTTGTTTATTACTTACCAAAAAAAAAAAAAAAAATTATGAAGTTTGCTTATGAGAAATGTTAGGGATCATGAAATTTTTTTCATGAAAATGATTATAAAAGATTTGTGACTCTTAGATTATCTTGATTAGTGTGTGGTGTTTTATTCTAAGTGTAATTCAAAGGTCACAAATATTTCATAATCATTTTCATGAAAGACTTTTCATGATAGTTAACATTATTGATACATGTGAAAGCTTATTATAGGACCTGTATTTTGGCCGCTTTCACTATCCGGCATTACTGATGTGAAAACTAGGCATGACAAACGCTGTATGTAAGCGCCCTTTCCTCCTCTCATATACATGCACATATATCCTCAGGCACGTCCATATATTTATTAACATACATATATATAGGCTCCCAATAAGCAGGACCCAAATGGGAAGATTCATAGATTCATGTACGCATACGCTGCACGAAACCATCTACCAACTATGCTACACTATGAGCCATAATCTCCTCTCAAACAACATAAACAGAAGATTTTTTCTTAGGCGACAAATAGATGGAGTTCTATATGATTTGCAATAGTTTATTTCTACGGATTTTGGACTCTGTTCTGTTGTGGTGCTGGATTTTGATTGCCAACTTATCTCTATCTGCACTGCACATCACATGAATTTTCTAAAACATTTTATCATCTCCTGTGTGGTTGGTTATGCCATCTGTTTTTGAAGAGGAGGCTCAAGGATGATGCTTTATCAATTCTTGAAGCAAATTCATTATCCAGTGTGAATATTAACATCATTAGCTCGGATGGCTGATGTACAAGCATGCATATTGGCTGTGGATTACGAATTACAATTTTCCCTGTCCTCCTCCGTTGTGCCCCTGCATGGAAAGTAGAGTGATGATGATCCGTTTTTCTTTTCTTGTTTTATTTATATTTATTAAATCTCATTTGTATGTAAATAATATATAATTTAATTTTCATAAATATAGTAAGAGTAAAATACCAAAATATTACAGTCAACATTTATTTTTATTTTTTTTATCTCTTATTTTACATTTTTTTTAGTAACCTTTAATTGGAAGTGTGTTTTTTGTGGTCCGCTCTATTTGGAATTTGGATGTTAGTTGCGCATAGGCTTTGTTATACTCGCAGATTTTGTTCTTGTCCACTTAACTGGGGGAATGGTGCTTTCAGTAAACCTTAAATCAAAATTACTTGTGATTTGCTTAGACATCACTATATTTTTCTGATTATATTTAGTTTAGATTTTAAATTTGTGAAAAAAATATAAAAATAAAAAATAGTAACATAAATATTTATACATACTAAATAAAAAAGTAGGTTTTTTTTATAAGATTCACTATAGGAAATTCGCTTTTTAGTGGCATTTTTAAAACGCCGCGAAAAGCCTGAAAAACGCCGTAATAGCTTATGGCGGCGTATAATATTTTCGTCCCTAGTACGGCCCCCGCAAAATCTTTGACCCCCGTCTCCCCTTCCGACACAAATTAACGTGTGATGTCACAATGATGTCATTCAGTGGCGTTTTCAAAAAATGCCTCTTTTTTTTTTAATTTTAATTTTTATTTTATTTGTTTGTCCTGCTCCTGCTGCAAGAAGCTAACGTGTGACGTCACAATGATATCATTTAGTGGCTTTTTTTTAAAAAATGTCACTTTTTTTTTTGGTTGTTTTAATTGGCTGCTGATGCAAGAACATGAAATAAAATACCATTTTTTGTTTTCGCTGTGCTGCTGCTGCTGTTGGAAACTGTATTCACAACTTGTGATCTCATGTTTTACGTTTGCTCTATGCAACCAAACTGCTAGACTTATAAGCAACTAGGACCCCAAATTTTCCATTTCTTTGCCTTTTTCTGGTCATTTACAGTGACCAACCAGTTCAGAAAGTTGGGCTAAAATCCAACCAGTGAAATTTGTGCTTGAGTAATGTATAAAGCTAGTGATCATGTGCCTCTTGGCACTTCCTCAATTAAATTATCAATACAAACATCTAGTAGGCAAACATCAAAAAAACAAGTCAAATCCACTGTCCAATCCAGTAGGCAATCAAATTTTGAACATAAAAAATATAAAAACACACCAAATACTGTGAAATCACATTTGATTAATATTTTAATTGAAGAAGTTCCTAGAATCATGTGAAATCAATACAAACATCAAATTTGGTCATATGTACAAAAGAAGAAAAAAACAAGTAGGCAAGTCAATATCCAAACATCTAGTAGTTATGCCTAAGTCATCGAGTATAGGCAATAATTGATAGGAAAAGTTCACTCCCAAGTTTTAGTTCTCATCACAAACCTTTCAATTTCATCAGTCAAAGCAGGAAGAGGAGAAAATAAACAAGCAGGTTCCACATTTCCTTGTATGCTAATTCCATTTCCCAAATGTTTCTTTCCATCTGCCATATCCATTGTCCAATCCAGCCTAATCACATCAACCCTAGTTCCTTTCATCCACTCAAGAAAGCCACCATTCCCATTAATGTAGAGAACAAGTGGAGTTCCAGGACAGTGTCCTTACTAGACTCACAATCTGCAATTCCAACAATCCCATAAGGTGATTGAGAAGGAAAGAGAAGAAAATGATAAAAACAACAAGTACAGGGCAACATTTTATTGAAACAGAAAATAATGAGTTTGTGTTCGTAGATTATAGAATCTAGGTAACAATTTTAAAGCACTGAGAAAAAACAAAATCCATTTAACGTCCACGGACTTACCACCTTCTAAATCTCTCCTTTTAATTTCTTGACCCTCACAAATTAGCATTTTCTAATGCATTTCTTAATAACATTAAGTACACAACAAAGACTTAAAATGTTTATGACCATGCACATCATAGAACTCAACTAGACTGAACCTGAAGCCAATCAACAAATAAGTGAGAAGGAGAAAGCAATCCAACTAGAATGGTTTAGAATGAACCTCTAGCCAATTAATAAACAAGACCAAATAACCTAGTCTACTTTCTATGACTGTGCATATTCAATCAATAAGAGAGACAATAATAAAATATAGTTCATCCAAAGCAATATATAGGCAAACCAAACTAATAAATTCCAATAAGGAAACAAATATAAACTAAGAATAAAATCTTAAAAAAATTCAACTTCATTAATAAAATAAAATTCACAAATAAACTAAAATTAGGTACAGTTCTAACCTTCAATTCAGTAGACTCTATCGTCATTCTTTCATTAAGTTTGTCATATCTACTTCTTTTTCTTCTTCTTCTTCTTTTCTTTCTTTGATATGTGAACCTGCATTTGATAAGAAACAAATAACATGAATAAAATGTCATATTAAAAATTTCATAATTAACTATTTACTCACTTCCTCGGACGAACGATGACAATTAAACGATGAGGTGTATGAATGGGATTGTTGTTGTGAATGCACATGTGTAGTAGTTGGTGCAACATGCCCACCCATGGCTTGTTGGGACTCTAATTGCTCTATTCGTGCTTGTTGAGCTTGGATTGTGTTTTGCATCTCCATTTGTACTTTTTGTTGATTAAGCATAGCATTCATCATCTCCTTCATTTGCATCTCCATTTGTGCATTATATTGGTTAAGTTGCTCTTGGACTTGCATTTGGATCATATAAGTTTGTTCTTGTGATTGCCTATATCCGCCTCCAAAGACATCTATCGAAGAAAGACCCAATCCGTATGTTCGAACACGACTAGGTCGCTCAGGCCTTAGAACCTGTGTGATAATTTCTTCATCTGTAGCATTGGATTGCGCCCCAAACTCTTTCATTTGTGTCTGTAATTGTTAATTAGTAATTAGCCACTAATAAAATTTAGCCTATAAGCAAGACATAATTAATTAATTCTCACTTCCAATTTGCAAGCACTATTAAAGGTAACTCTCTATCAAATTTAACTATCTACTTTGCCTCTCTTCAAGTTTAGATTTCTACTTTATTCATCAGGTAGTTTCTACATCAAATCTGTTCATAGTCTCTATGATTCAACTCACACTTGTGTGCCTGTGTGGAAAGGTATATATTTTCTTCTACAGAATTGTGATATTTGCCTGATTGGTTTGGAGTAAGTGGATTGTTACTTGTGATTTACTGATTAAAACCAAACAAACTACCAGTAAAATTTAAACAATTGCAAAGCACAAATTATCACCCACATCAATAAATACACCAACCAAAAATAATTACTAACTACCTAATAATAGAACTTTATATATATGTTAGTAGCAGATTTATGTCTTTAATTCAATAGGAGTTCAAAATTACTTGGGTTGATATCATAAACATCTTGAAGCCAGTGCTCCACTTAGTCTCTAAAGTGAGCACTTGAAATGATTTCTCAAACTAATCATAGCTGTCAATGTTCTGGAAAATGCATTATTATAAATTATAATCTGTGAGCTGCATGTAAGCTTGTTTGGTGTTTGTAGGCAAATGGTGGTAGAAGGTTATCTCAGTTATTGTTTCTCATTTTACCCCAGTAATTTCATAACCTTTCTTTAAAAAATAAATAAAGAAACAAATATGAGACAAGTATACATTCCATACATGCAAAGCATATAATAATGGTGCTACATACCATGACCTCAACAACTTTATTAGTACTTGGTTTGTTATCCTTTGAGTACCCAGCCATCCACACTTCTAAGCGAGTTGCAGGAACTTCATTCTTCTTATTAGTTTCCTACAATTACACTTAAAATTAAGTAACAAAATCAAAATATACAATTTCAATTTGAAATATAAAGAAACTATATACCTCTACTCGAACAACTGAGAATGGTTTTTTGCCAGTTATGTGATTTAATGTCTTATTTTCCAAATTTCTTTGTTTTTGGTACTTTTTTTTCTATTACATATGAACACAAACACAAGATAATTTATTAATTAACAAACTCATCTTATGAGATTACAATAGAGTTCAATAAACAATTTAAATGATACCTGTGCCTTTCGAGTGCCCCAATAATAGACTAAGCTTTGCCATTGATGCACATGATGTACTCTTTCGGGTCGATGAGTTAACCTATCAGCATCATTGTCGAATGACGTATACCCCATTTGTTTAACTCTAGCCTTCTACTCTCTCCATTTTTTTCCCAACAGATGCCAAAACAAATTTCTTCATTGACTCGTCAGTATCTGTATTGACTTGCAAATAATTGGCAACTTTGTGACTATTGCATACACACAACAACAACAACATACACGCAGTGGCATACACACAGCAGCAAGCCCACAGAAGTAGCTGATTTCACAAATCAAGATAATATTCACTGCATTTAGTAATTGAAGGAGATTTTTCATCATGAATGGCCTTTCCAAAATAAAAAAATAAATACTACCATTCAGCTACTAGAAGCAAGAACCCTTTCAGGTGAACAAACTAATACTTATAGACTACTAATCATAGGGCTTTGAACCCAAAAAAAAAAAAAAAAAAAATCTGTTCAGTATATACACATCAAATCTATATGCATATGAACCTACAAACTAGTTTGCCATTCAAAGCAAACAACCCTCTAATTGGTGACTAAGAGGCTGTTGAGGGTCCTGTTTGGTTGTGTTTTCATCTTCTTCGTTTCCATTTTTTAAAAAACAAAAACAACATACAGTTTTGAAATCAAGCATCATTTTAAAATTAATATTTTTTGTGCGAAAATAGTTTTCAAAAATGTAGAAACAACTTTTTGATATTTTCTAAGAAGTGAGTTGTATTCGTCAAACAAATTCCCTCCCCCTCCCCCAAGAAAATGAGAACACAACCAAACAGAACTGAACCCTACTTTTATCCTGAAAAAAACACAATCTCTAGATTTGCACATGTAGTCCTCAACCATCACCAATTAACAAGAAGAGAGCTACTATTCCATCATGCAACATAAAAGAGAACAGAGAATAAAATGAGCTAAATTGAAACAAACTATGTATGACCATTTTGCAAAAGTGAAGTGTAAAAAACAAAAAAGAAAAAACCTTACAACTGAAAGTTGTTATGATAGGAAGGTCATTGAAATAAGTCCAAATTGGAAACCAGACACATCAACACTGTAAACATACAGCCTACACCATTTGGCTGCTGCTGCTCCTATATCTATTTTCATTTTACACAAAAACCCAACGGACACCAGTCAAAAAGTTCACAACAAAACTAACGCATTCCCTCCTCATTTTCGGTACATGGCTCTGAACAAGGAAACACAATGACTTTGAACTTAATGCGTGATGACCAAAGGGTTCCAATTATTCAAGGAAACAACAAAAGAAAAAAAGGAAGAAACAAAACAAACTGGCAACAATAAAATATGAAACAAATAAAATAAATAATAACAAATTAAAATTAAAATTAAAATTGATATGTAAAATGAAAAAATTCTTTTACCTTTACTTCTCTCCAAATTCTCCCTTTGTTTTCCTTCGGAACATTGCTCCAAGTTCTATAAGTGTTGAGAAGATAAAGGCTATCCCAATATCAATGGGATAAACTAGGAAATAGATATGCATTGTATTTACTGTAAATCTTTAAGATACCTATTGTAGATGGGATTCCTAGGATGTCACTTGTATAAAGCTGTATACTAAGATTCAATATTTATTAAAGGCAGAATATTTTCTCCTCTGTTTCACATGGTATCAGAGCAGGTTTAAAAAAAACTAGCTTTTTTCTTTTGCCTCAATTCACCATTCTCTACCATCATGGTAAACGAAAGGTGTTCGGATGAAGGTCAATCAACTGCTGTCACCGACACCGCAAATCTTTTTTCTCTCCATCATTTTGATCATCCTGGAATGGTGCTCGTTTCTAAGCCTCTCAATGGAGATAATTACTCGACTTGGTCTCGAGCTATGACCATCTCTTTGAATGCCAAATCCAAATTGGGCTTCATTGATGGAACCATAGCCATGCCGGCTGCCACCACTAAACCAGACGACTATGCATCATGGAGACGATGCAATGATATGATCCTATCTTGGATCCTCAATTCTCTCACACCAGATCTTGCTGACAGTGTCATTTATTCAACTATTGCCCAGGAGGTATGGGACGACCTTCGGGATCGTTTTTCTCAAAACAATGCCCCTCATATTTTTCAGATTGAGAAGGACATCGCTTGTCTTGCCCAAGATCAAATGAGCGTTTCGGCTTACTACACCAAACTAAAAGGATTATGGGATGAATTCGGCTCCTATAATGCCACCGTTTGCTCTTGTGGGGCAGATCATATGCGTCGCAAATTGATACAATTTCTTATGGGACTCAATGCGTCATACAGCGCAATCCGAGGGCAAATCCTTTTGATGGATCCCCTGCTTGATGTCACCAAGGCCTACTCCTCCATTGCACAAGAAGCAAAGCAGCGTAGTGTGGGCATTGCATATGAGACAACGGAGATCGCAGCTATGGTTGTTTGCAGGGATAACCAGACCACAGCCATAATAGTTCGCAGGGATAATCGCAACTCGGCTAATCGTAAGCCATTACATTGCTCTTACTGCGATCAAGATCAACATGTGCAAGAAACTTATTGGAAATTGAATGGGTATCCGCTAGGGCATCCACGCCATAAATCAAACAAACCCACTCCAGGAGGTACTCGTTTCAAACCCAACACTAGTACTCAGCCTTCGGCAAATACTGTCACGAAGGACTCTACGATGCGGGAGATGCCGTCAGCTATGAATGGACTTTCAGATTTGCAATTCCAGTAAATGTTATCTATCGTAAATGGTCAAGGACCCCCTCAGGCCAACGCTATTGGTACTGCTGCAGGTTTGTCACACGTATCATTGTACACTCATCGATTCATTATCGATAGTGGTGCCACTGACCATATTACTTCATCTCCAAATTTACTTGTCAACAGTTGTAAGAATACTTCTTTGCTGCCGGTTATCATGCCAAGCAGAGAATAGGCTCCGATTCTCTCCACTGGAACTTTACCCCTAAACTCAGTATTGTCTTTAAAAAATGTGCTTGGCGTGCCATCTTTTAAGGTGGATTTGATGTCTGTGAGTCAAGTTACAAGAAGTTTAAATTGCTCCGTAACTTTTTTTCCTTCCTGGTGTATTTTGCAGGACTTGATGACGAAGAGGACGATTGGTTTGGGTAAAGAACGCAACAGACTTTATTACTTGGTTGCCTTAACATCAGACACACCAGCTCCTAGCCGATCCTTAGCTGCCGAGTCTTCAGTACCGCCCATGCGTCCATCATGTTCTCATGTCCTCTCCTCTACTGACTTGTGGCATCGCCAATTGGGACATTTATCTTCCGCTCGTTTAGATTTTATGGCTAGACACTTGTTAAATTTTTCTTTTCAGTCAAGTAAACCTTGTGATGTTTGTGCACTTGCCAAACAGCGTCGGCTTCCATTTTCTGTTAGTTCTATTTCGTCTATTCGGCCTTTTGAATTAGTTCATTGTGATATTTGGGGTCCATATCGAACTGCTTCCCTTTTTGGTGCAAAACTTTTTCTGACTATTGTGGATGACTATTCTAGATTCACCTGGGTCTTTTTAATGCACAACAAAAGTGACACTCAACACTTACTAATTTTTTTTTCCTTTGTCAAAACCCAATTCAATGCCTCTATCGCTAATATTCGGGTTGATAATGGACTCGAATTCTATGCTGTAACAACCCCCATACTGTTTACTGATTAATGACTGATTGATCACCGATAATCACCGATTACTGTTAAACGAAACGGATAATGACTGATAACTGACTGATAATTGAACTGATTAAAAGTACTGAACTGACTGACTGAAATTGGAAACCGAATTGATTGAGCATATGTTAGTTAAATTGCATTCTATCTGTTTGACTGTATGATTATCTGTTCGTTTTATATGTTTAAACTGCTAATTGAAGGCCTTATCGGCGGCCGAAATCGGAATTGATTAGTGTTTTATGATCCTCATAATTAATGTGATTTTATGGTATAATTATTTGAAAACTGATTAAGTATGATTAAATTAGATTAAAATAAGCTAATTAAAGGGTTTGGTTTATTTACCATATTGCCACCCTTAGTGGCCCACTACCTAGTGATGCTAGAGCCTTGCATACTTGACTCAAAACATTTCCATCAGCCATTTCTCTTGAGCTTAGCCGACCATGAGAGGGAGAGAGTGAGAGAACTTGTCTTCCATCTTGGGTTTGCTTGCTAATTGAAGAATTGTTGAAGTGTAGATTTCATATTTGAGCTCCTAAACCTTGAATACAAGACTAAAGTAGGAAACTCACCTTCTTATTGTTGCCATTGAGCTAGTTCTTGCATGATTCATGCTTCATTGTAGAACTAAATCATGTTTTGGTTCATTGTTGTTGAATTGGAGCTCAATCCTTGCATGCATGGTTGTATCATAGATGTTGAGTTGTTTTCATGGCAAAATGTTATATGCATGTTCACATTTATGTTTAAGTCCATGATTTCATCATGTTTTGGAAACAATTGGCTCCTTGGAGCATCAAATTGAAGCTTTGATTTGGTTTAAATCCATGCATGTTTGCATGTTTTTCATATTCTTGAAAATGGGTTTGAATGTGGTTTTAATTGACTCATATCCCAATATCAATGAGATAAATTAGGAAATAGATATGCATTGTATTTACTGTAAATCTTTAAGATACCTATTGTAGATGGGATTCCTAGGATGTCACTTGTATAAAACTGTATACTCAGATTCAATATTTATTCAAGGCAGAATATTTTCTCCTCTATTTCACATGATATCAGAGCAGGTTTAAAAAGCTAGCTTTTTCTGCTTCTTTTCACCATTTTCCACCATCACGGTAAACGAAAGGGGTTCGAATGAAGGTCAATCAACTGCCGTCACCGACACCGCAAATCTTTTTTTCTCTCCATCATTCTGATCATCCTGGAATGGTGCTCGTTTCTAAGCCTCTTAATGGGGATAATTCCTCAACTTGGTCTCGAGCTATGACCATATCTTTGAATGCCAAATCCAAATTGGGCTTTATTGATGGAACCATAGCCATGCCAGCTGCCACCACTAAACCAGACGACCATGCATCATGGAGACGATGCAATGAT